TTGTTTAATTATATTATGATTTTTTCTTTTAACCAAATGCCCTTGAAAGGTGTTAATTTTCATTTGCGACTTTTCAAACAAATAACCCAAACGCAGTTGCGGTAATGAAATGAGCTGCTTGATCCCAGAAACACGACCTAGCGCAACTAAAAATTTCCCAAAAGCAGAAAGAAAACCCTAAAGATTTGCATTTTCTAAAGAGTCTTAACGAGTGACCGCGTTTACAGATGTTTTCAAGAGGGTTGTGTTGCAATTGCACAAAACAACTTCAGGAAGGGGAAAACTGATCGAGAACTAACACAGGAAGGAAGGGAAGAAATAATGGTCACAAATGTAGCATTAATTTTGAAGAGCTACAAGTGGTTACATGAAGCTTTCATTGTTGGTGCGGTTATGTTCGTATAGCGGAAAAACTTGCATACTACTTGGTAACACAGTGTTCCTTGCAACTTTTTTTCTTGAGGAAATTATGCACATCCTCTATTGCTGCAAAGAATTAAAATGTTTCGATCTTACATGGCTTTTCGATGTTAACCGAGTGACTGTTAAGATATGCAGCTGTCTCAGGAGGTTGTGTTCATGTGAACAAAACAACTTCAGGAAACTGAAAAATCACACAGAAAGGAAAGACAGAAATAATAGTCACAAATATAGCATTTTCGAGGAAGCTGCTAGTGATTATCTGCTTTCATTCTTAGTGCAGTTAAGTTCATATAACATAATAACTTGTTGACTTAGGAACACAATTTTCCAGTTCCTAAATGCTGAGGTTTACTATCTTCTTTTTGCTAGTGAGAATTAAGCTCATCTTTTATTGCTGTAAAGGAATGTTTCAATGTTAAGGTGTTTGTCTATCTTAACGAGTATATGCCGATAGAGATGTACAGATGTGGCAAAAGATTTCAGTTGGACGAAACAAGCTTAAAAAAGGGAAGACTGAATGGCGATCTCATACAGGAAGGAAAGAAAAAAAAATGTTTTATATACAAGTCAGTGTTTGTCTGCCAGGTAAAAAATTCAATCAAATCTACCTTTTTCAAACGAGTTTAATGTCGGTTAAAGGACATGATCAACTGAATCAACCAAACATTTTTTCTTACAGAAAACAAAAGACCCATTCAACCGGAAATGCCGGGTTCACCCCTCATGGAATCCGTTTCGGATGTTTAATACGCACATCCGTTTCCTTTTGGGTCCGAGTGAAATCTATTAACTGAACCATGCCACGAATAAATTACTTTTATATATTTTGTTGAATGGTATCTATAATAGCAGTGTTTTAGTGGCACTGATACTGGTTACAAGAAAGATTTTAGAGTGCCCGAAAACTTTCAGTCTAAGTGATTGTTTATTCTGTGTTAAAAAAGTACAGTTCCCTCTACATGTACATATGCATGGTCCTTTAACGTTAAACGTACACAAGTTTGCGCTAGGAAAGACGTAGGATTTTCTAGTACTAGTTTAGATTGTTGAAATAGTATTTTATTCCATACCAAGCCCGTTATATATTTCTCGCCAGACAAGTAACATATATCATGCTAAGAATGAAACTGCAGATTTGCAGATATTTATTGGACACCGTCTACTAGGTACACTAACAGACTGTTCTAATTTCTTTGATGTATTTTAAAGGAATATGAAGTGCCTTGTGGTCTTTGTAATAACTTGGGGCCTGGCGATGCCATCACCTTTCGAGATTGGAACAAAAAGTCCAGACGAGGTAAACTGAGTACTTCTTTGCAGTGAAGTCTGTCTATATCTTGTACTTCAAAACAGAATGAAAGATTGTATCCTTGAAATCGTTTTTTTGTTTTTCTTTTTTTTTTTTCATTTCAGCAGGGTTCTTCTGATGCTCCAACTGAGATGGCTGCAATTGGTGAGAATGCTTTTTTATGAAACAGATATAAATGTATTTATCTTGTCGGCACTATCTTCTGCAACGGCTTATTCAACTTGGACATCTTCTGCATAAATGTTAAACATTTTTCCAAGCAATTTCCACGACTTTAAGTTGCTTGCATAATTTAAATGTAGGACATTTGAGCAACATTTTGATGTTCCTCGACTAACCTTCTCGTTCTTGAGAAATCAGCTTCCACGACGATTCAGTCGTGTAGGCGGCAGCCTAATGGTTAGTGCACTGGACTCTGGATGGAGCGGTCCGGGTTAGAGCCCCGTGGCCGGGGACACTGTGCCGTGTTCATGGTACAAGACACTTTACTCTCAAAGTTACTCTCTCCGCCCAGGTTATAAATGAGCACCGGTGAAATTAACGCTGGGGGGAGGGGGTAACCTTACAATGGGCTAGCATCCCATCCAGGGGGGAGTAAAAATCCTCCTAGTTGCTTAATACCATAGAAACCGGGACAAGCTCCGGCTGTATGCATGGGCTGCTTGGCCGGCCAGATGCAGACTTTACCTTTACCCCACGACAATTCAGTCGGCCTGCGTACTACGAGCTTAAATGGCTTTTGATGTTCAAAGAAAGCCTTTAAGCTAACTTGATTTTGATACGGTCATTTTGCAGGAGACGGTTTATTGGCGAATGACTTCAACATTTGGAAAAATCAGAAAATTAAGGGCCACCACAATGTCGGTCAACAGGAAACTTCGGTTCCGGTGGTAACCAGGGCGGCAACGGGGGCAATTTCAACATTAAAGGCAGTCAGATAATTGGTGGTCATAACAGCGTTGGTCAACAAGGAAACCACGACCAGGGTGGCAATCAAGGTGGACAGAGCGGCAATCAAGGTGGAGGTAGAGGACATAAATAGACGGTGTCCCAGTTGATATATCGTGTTTTACTAAGTACTGCGAAGAACTTGCCATGGACGTGCCAAAAGTTGTGAAAGCAAAGAAATTTCAACTAAAAAGAAAACATGACTAAAAGATTCAAATCAAAAAGATTCAAATCTCACCAGAGTAGCAGTTTTGATTTCTTGACATCCTATCAGTGAATCAAATTTAATGAATTGTAATCTACTTCCATCCGTGTAATCCTGAGCTTCTTCCCAAAAATACTTGTCTTATTTTGCTCCATAGATTTTCTTTATCCAGTTTATTTGCATATTTGACGACATTTGGCGATGCAACGCTACTTAGGAACAGGGTTTATGTCCCGGTTTATGTCCCAAAGGGTGTGGTTTTTCAGCCGTTTGGGTCATAAATAGGGTATCGATTTTGGCCGTTTTGGTCAGAAATAGGGTATGGTTTTTGCACTCTGGTCTTGAATTAAGTATTTTTTTTAGAAGAAGCTACTTTTTCACCATTATCGATAAGACTATCAACAAAAGCCCTTTGTAAATTATGTTTAGAGCAACTGTACCAGCCGCAATGGCCATAAATAGGGTATCAAATTTTTGGTCAGGTCATAAATAGGGTACGGAAAATCGCAGATTTTGGTCATGAATAGGGTGTGGGTGAGGGTTTTGAGAAGCTGGCCGCACAACCCCACCTGATTTTTCTGGGAGTACCATCCCGCCCCCCACCCCGCCCCCGTGGTTCATATGTAGACCCTACGTTTTCTTATAATATATACGAATGTCGCCGTAACTGCTATGAAAAACGTCATCCAATACCATCTGGGTTCCGATTAAAACCAGGGGACAATCTTGTTCAATCTTTTTTCAATCGTCATTTGTAATGCATGTCTCGGCTATCATACCGTCACTTCTATTGGTTATCTTTTGTGTCAGATTGAGAGGAGAATATAAATCTATATGGCCGGCATAAAACATGCTTACATTCAATAACAGAACTTCATAGTAGCCTAAAAGCGTGATGTTTGGTTGTGGGGTCCGAACGAGACGAATTATCATACTTGATTCGTCCATTTCTGTTACTTTGCTTTTTAACTTTCTTGGAGACTCCAGGAACAATAATTCAAACAGTCCACGCATTCTTTGCTTGCTTTTCCTACAGGTTGCCATGACGCCGTTTCGTCTTGCCCCGCGTTGGCCAAGCAAGGGCTATGTGCGATAATTCCTTCACTGAAAAGTATCTGCTGCCAGTCATGTTGTAAGAAATGTTTACAATCATAACTTTGGGGTTTAAAGTGGACTTTTTTAACAGTACATGGTAGGGTGTATCTTAATTTATAAGTTTTCAAATATCATTTTCAATTTCAACAAACTCGAATACAAGGCGTATCGTTTAAGCGGTAACCGTTAGTGGCTTAATGATTCGTGCGCTGGAATCCGGATCGAGAATTCAGGGTTCGAGCCCTCACCTGGGTCATTTGCAGTGTTCTTGGTTAAGATTTTTTTATTCTTACAGTGCCTCTCTCCACCCAGGAGTATAAATGGGTTCCAGCGAATTGTTGGGGCAACTTGACAGAACGCTGGGAGTACCCTGCGATGGATTTACATCCCATCCAGGGGGGAGGAGCAATACCCCTAATTCTTCCTGCTACAGAAACTGGAGTTAAGAAGGGAGAGCTGTGTACCAGTTGAGTTTAAGACGCTTTGCTATCATCCAAGTGACGCCTTGTGTCTGACTTCTTTGAATGCGCCATCTCGCATAGCTCAGACCATTGTAGGTCCGTAGGTCCCGGAGCCTAATTGGAACACATTCAAAACAGACTCTCCTAGTTGGCCAGACTTCAAGATTTAAAAATGACTGCAGTGATTGAGTCAAGAATGGTATGCTGTTGTGCCAAATTACAGGTCATAAGTTAAAAATGAGGTAAGAGCCATGGTGATGACATGACGACGAGTCGCAACTAGAACAAGAGGCTGACCATTTAGCTCCTCCCCCTCTCCTTACCTTCGCTATCAAATCCAACCCCCTGAAAAGAGGTTTGGTTGTCTTGTGGCCAAATCTTCGGGTTTGTGCGATTATTCATCTCAATAATTACCATAAAATATTGTGCATATCTATATCCTTCAGCTGCAAGTGTATGCAAGGACCTTAACCAAAATTGCGCCTTGTTCGTATAACATAAGCATCTCATAAATGAAAACCTTCATAATTTACGCTTCACTGATGTAGGAATCAAAACATGGTGGTCTCCAAGCAAAGTTCTTTATTGACAAATACAATACTTAACAGCCAATCTTTAGCACTTCTAACAATAATCAACTCGGCTGCTTGCTAAGGTCAGTTACCATAGTGACAGTGTCATGTGTACAGTAATCAGACCCTTTTCTTATGGACACCTACTTAATAAGGACACCAAAGGACACCTCATTACAGACAGTGGTTCTGATCCCTACAATTGTAGCTAATACCCTTTCTGTTACCCAGATCAAGTTCATGTTCATTAGAAAGGTAGTCTAACTACAACAGAAAATGTAGATTTTTTAATCATCCCTTCACTGCATTTAGTGTAGCTGAGGTTAGCTTGCTGTTACACGATATATTGTGACTCATCCAGGTGGCCAAGACATTTGCCGTCCACCAAGAACATGAATATGAAGATGATACACTGACTGAGCAGCATCACGTCCGTTGTTGATAACTAAAATCAAAATCATTTTTTTTCAGATGGCAGTGTCCTATAGCATTTCTGGAGTTTATAAAAGAAGTCAGACGACTTTATCATTTATGGCTAAACAGTGAGTGTAAAGAAGCCTTAAATTATTAGGTACAGTACACTTTATACGCTTGTGCAACCCTCAAGATTGTTGCAGGGCAACTTTCATGCATATTTAATTCATGCATATTTACTTTATAGTTATACTGAATTGAATACAGCAACGATTAATTAATTAATAACACAGAGATCATATGCATACATGTGTTTTCAGACATAATATATCAAACACAAAAAAACTGTGTTTGACCACTTTTCCAAACACTGAGAAGAGAGTTGAAAATACTACGTGCAGCAGAGTCTTTTTGATGAACTTTGAAGTGTTTAGAACTGTGGCCAAATATGCAGTGTTGAGTGTTTGACATACATGTATCTTCTTGGTCGAAATAAAACTAAAGAGAAAACGGGAAAATACAATCATAAAATCCATGCTATTTCCTTTGTTTAACTTGATGAATTATTAATGACTTTGAGAAATAAATTTAAGATGATTCAATGCTTGACTGAATGTACTAAATAAAAGGATATAATGTCATTAATGATTTGAACATTATTCATCACGGTGTAAGATACGATAGATGAATTTTTCACTTGTTTGTCTCACAATGGAGTCACTTTGAGAGATGCAGATCATGACGTTTCGACTGCTATACTGCTAGTCTTCATCAGGCGATGAGGTCAATTGTTGCATGTCACTATTTGTAAGGCAACAATTGACCTCATTACCTGATGAAGACTAGCAGTATAGTAGTCGAAACGTAGCAATCTACATCTCAAAGTGACTCCATCATGAGACAAACGAGTGAAAAATTAATCTATCCTAAAAGGATATACTTACCAAGCCTATATCCACTGTCATTGAGGTTTTCCTTCTCTGCAACATTCTTTGCCACCCACAACAAATGACCAAGAAGCTTCATGGAAATCAAAAAGTAATTATGTTAGAAATTGTGGTGCATAACAATGTGTGGTGCATTTTCTATAAAAATATTCAAAATTAATGCTCTAAAAATTGGAACTAAAATTAACTCTTGATTTTTAGAAAAAAAAAAACTAATTTATTTCTTAGTTTACAAATTTATAACTTTAAGATAACAAAGCTAATTACTAACAAAAGTTACAACCTGATTCAACACTTAATTAAAACTTGATAAATTAATCGATCACTCAACTAATTGTTAAGATGGCTGGATACAAACATAAGAGAAACCTTGGTAGAAATAATTTAAAAGTTCATGCATGCAACAGGATTTCAGTTGCCTTAAGTTCTTTGCATTGTCCCAGATTTTCTTTTTTGTCTGCTTTCGGCTACGTAAACAGGGAGATGTCATTTTCTTTTTTCTAATTTAAATTAAAGCCAACAAATAACTGTGTTTAACTAGCCCTATATAAAATAACTGCACAGTGTTACATAATATATGAACCAGATTTGTAAGCTACATGCTATGCAGCAAAGAGCTTCTGCTATGGACAGTAACACTACACACAGCACTCAGCATTAATTGCTTTCCATTTACAGGGGTTTCATTAGAAGCCCACAACCGGCACAAATATCCGCCTACTTTGCCAGAATTTACCTCTTACCACTGCCTACTTTGTCTGTATTTTCACTCAAATTATTAAAAAAATTGATCAGGTGTCCACTTAGGGTAAGTCAAGTAGTACTTGTAAATGGTTAGTACCATGGCAGAATATCAGCTAACAAGAGGAATCTGCCTACACCAAGGTGGTTACTTGTTGTAGCTCTACGGAATATTAATAGAACCAAGGGACATGAAAGTTCCATACTGCACCAAACCTCGATGATTCACCAACAACTATTAACCAACATGCTTGAATGAATGTCTGGTTTTCGAAGAAGTAGCCAGAAATAAACCCTTCACATATCAATTCATAGCCAAACATGCCATCCCACAAATGATATACTTACAGGTATATCTTCCTTCGTGCTTGCCGCCAGCTGCGTTATGGGTTTTCGAGGAATCACCAAAATGTGTTTGGGAGCTACAGGATTGACATCCCGAAAAGCAATGGCCTATAAGGCAAGATGTTACAGAGCACATGAATATTGAAATCTAAATTATGTACAAGAAAAATACATATCTGATCTGGGCATTTTTGAAAAAAACTGTTGCTATTTTGTAGGTTTTCACTATCATTCTACATTCACATAATGCCAGTTTCAGAATTAGCATATAACAGTTTTCCTCTTCTGTGCTTCGCAGCTAGAAATTTCACACTTAATTCATTTAATACAAAACTTGGGGAAAATTTATTTCTTGATTTCTCTACATGTTTTCATTTTCAATACACCAACTGTATTTGAAACAAAAATATGCAGGTGAACACATTGACCATTTACCACCTTAATCTTCTTCAGTAAACTCCTCGCTTCCCCTCCCTCTCCCCCACATCAACAGGGTAAACCCTTTTAAAAGGTGCATGTCCAAAAAACATACAGGTGGTCTTCTCCCAAGGCCAATGGCTAAGTCAAAAAGGAACTTGTCTCCTCAAATTCTAAATTCCCTAGATGTGTAATGACCAAGGGACAAGGTCCTGCCTACCACAGGGCAGAGACGTCAAGCGTACAAAAACGTAGGGCCCCACCCAACGCCTGATTCGTCCCGAGACAAAGTCCCCCTAACTAAATGACGTCCAGACGCTGTGAGATCAGCTGGCAAAAGTTTACCATGAAATAAAAACAATGCCTTAAAGTTGACGCGCACTGACCTTTTCGTCTTCGTATATTATGTCAGCGGGAATTTCCTTTCGTAGGATTTTGCCAAATATGGTGTCTTGTGGCTGAAACTGATATTTCTCCGCCGCTTCTGCAGCAAGTTTAGCTTTCTCAACTTCATCGTTACATTGCCCATTGGAGCAAAACTCAGCTATTAGCACCTTTGGGGCGACACTTAGAGCTGCAGCCGCCGTTAGAAGAAGTTTACTTGCATGGAAGTTGGTTCGACGCAACGTGTGCAGCGCCATTTCGATGATCGAACCTTCTTGTCAGCGGATACCCCAAAGTACGAGACAGTACATTGAATAAAGCTGGGATCTGAAGCGGGCTGAACGAGCGGTGGAGATGTGTAGATTAGCTTAGATTATACCTGGTCTTTACAGCGTTAATTTGAAATTTTCCAGCGTTCCTGGACTTGTGTTCATTAAAATTCATTTTCGGCGTGTTGAGTCGTCAATGGAACGAGCAATTTAATTCCTAGCGCGCGCGTCCACATCACACTAAGAGAAGGGGAAAGGTTAGACTTCACCCAACCAGAAAACAAGCTTCCCCTGTTATCCTTTCGTTGTCCATCGCGCTACGTCTTACAGCGAGATCTCCTACCACTGCAGACTTACAACTACCAAGTAAAAAGCTTTAATAATGAGTCGCCATTTTTCACCCCATTTTAATGTGTTTCTTGTTCACTGTCCCAGCCATTAGTTTAACTTAAGATTGGTCAGGTTTGCAGTCAAAGAGATCAATAAACCTATTGATTTGACGGTGGTGTAAAAGAAGTCATAGACTATGAGACACAAGGAACTCAACAATAGACAAGAATTGCTGCTGTCAGGGTGGAACTTTTAAATGTACATCAGCAATTAATTCATTGCTTTACAGTTAGGTTAATTTTAGAATTTTCCTTTTTGGGGGGAGGAGCCAGGCCCATGACTTGAAGATTTAAACCAACCTCGTTCCCAGGGCTTTTTCCGATCTCAAAGGGAAAAACTCTGCCTGCCACGTCATTTTCGTGGTCTGTACAGTTTACATCACTACAATCGACCATAGCTCTCGACCATTAAACACAAGTACCGTCTTCAGGTGGCTTCACAATCAACACTGTCCATTTGTTTTCTTACAAGAGACCCACAGCTCAAAAGAATGTGAAAATATTTGGCAAGCGGAATGGGGCGGTGAAGTCTTTTTTAGCCATGGTACAAAGCATAGCAAGGGCACAATGATCCTCATAACTCATAATCATAAATGCACTTTTACAAAGCACTCTGCACATCAAATAACCACAAATCTTCAGTTGCAAACAACGAATTACCCATAATTGTCTCAGAAAATATCACCCCTTTAGAAAACGCAGACAAGTTATCGTGTGAAGGAAAAGTTACCCAGGCAGAATGCCTTAAAGCACTAAAGCATTTTAAAAATGAAAACATGATCACCGGGAACAGACGGATTACAAGCAGAATTTTATAAAATTTCTGGAAGGAGCTGTAACTTCCTTTCTTTCAATCTTTTCTCTGAAAAATTTCATCTCGACACCCCCTTCACTCTTTATTTCGGCTTAATTAATTCTGTGCCGAACTACCTTTCCAGATAGAAAGTGACATAAAAACAACAATGTTTCAATATAAGATTATTCATAATATTCTTTCAACAAAAGTCAGTCTCTTTAAAGCCAATATATGTGATGATGACATATGCCCACAATGTCTTGCTGACAGGCATTCCTTAGATCATATGTTTTTGCGCTGTCAATTAACTTTATCCTTCTGGGACTTATTCCAAACATGGTGGACGAGCAAAACTAAAGAAAATGTCACATTAACAGAGAGCACGGAATTTTCGACAATAGAGAACACCTATACTCCTTGAATTACTCACTTCTTTTAGCAAAGTACTCGATATATAGTAGCTGCTTACAAGGAAAAAAGCTTTGTTTTGAAAGTTTTCTCACGCTTCTAAGAGAAAAAAAACAATATAAAACGGGAAATTGCTGTTCACAATAACAACATTACAAAGTTCAAGACTGCATATAGATTTCTTTTGTAACTTTTTTTTATTTTTCGTCTTTATTGCTTTACTGTTCTTGTCTTCTCTTTCTTTTTTACGTTTACTAACCTATAGATTTATGTGAAGTTGTGAAGTAATTAGGTTAACAAAAAAAATAATATGTTGTTAAGTAAGTAGATATTTATGACATGTTGTAAACTGTTTGTAAATTAAAATAATAATAGTGATAATTTAAAAAAAAAAAAGTATTTTACCTATCAGTCATTGAAAAACACTTTAGGAACAATTTTGAAGGTGATATTTGAAAAGAAATTATGTGAACTTTATTCAAACTAGGGAAAATAACAGGAAAGTCTGATATATACGTGATGTAAATCCTTTGGTGTTCCGAATGTTCGTCTGGCAAGGAAAATAATTTGATTGGAGGATTTAAGGAATTTTAAAGCCATATGTCAGAGGAGCAGTCTCCCCCCGGATAACGCACTTCATGAGCGAGAGCTGGTCCGTCAGGTTCTTCTCCAAAGTCCACACAGAAATCAGGATTCAACTTGAGCCCGCCATTCACTGAATCAACGTCAACTTGCAGCAACATGCTGCCTTTTCTACGAGATAAGATAGCAAAAGGTAAGTGATACCTTATTATAGGAAATTAACGCGTCATGAAATTAACGCGAATTTCAAAAATTCGCGTTAATTTAAGTCGCGTTAATTTATGTTAGCGTTGATTTCCNTATAATAAGGTATTAAGTTTTCCAAAACCTAACCAACTTCGATCACAAAATATTGTGTCACGAAACAGATGTAATGATTACCCGACTTAAAGTGCGCAAGCGAGTAATGTAATGCTCGCACAAACTTTAAGATGAATAGACGCGGTTATTACGGAGGTAATGTGGGGGTATGGAGGGAAGACTCACGCTTTGTAGGAGGCTTTTTGTTAGTAGACATGTCGTGTACAAGTAAGCTGAACGTAAAGGAGCCGATGATTAAACCGTTGGCAGTTGAACTGTTGGATTGGAATATGCTGTCGTCGTGCCGCGCGCATTACGCACTGAATACAAGAACTCAATTCTGATCAGATATGATAGCCTTTTTTCTGAACCGTTTCATTTTCGGCTTCCCTCCCTCGTGTAATCAGAACGTGAATTTTGAGATAAGCCCAGCATGGTACAGTTGTGTTTGAAGTGAGGCTTCATTGCGGGCTTATTTTGGGAGTTCTGTGTTATAAGGATATACGCGACGGCTGGGTTTATCTTGAGGGGAACTTCCAGTTCTCAGCTCTTCAAAAATGTCACTACGGAACACGGAAACTTCGAGGAGAACAATTCTTTGCACATCTTAAGCAAAAAAATAGACAAGATCTACAATAGGGCAGCGTGCAAATGAGAAAAACGCATTTTTTTCATTGCAAGTTTCACTGAAATTAAAGATAAGACCTAAAAATTTAAAGCTCGCTGTCTGCTATCCAGTGAAGGCTTATCGGATGGACGAGACAAGATCTGCTAAAAAAATCCCTGATTAACTTCTGGCCGGTTTCGCATATACTCACTTGGAGAGATTAGGGTAGAACTGATTGTCCCACACACTGAACAACGATGTTGTGGCATAAAGCCGTTTGCCATCCAAACTGAGCTGAATCATCTGCGGTCCTCCTTCCACTCGCTTCCCCTTCACGTAACACGGCTCAGGCTGTCCGCTCAGTTCAGAGTCCTCTGTCACCTTCACTGGGCCATCACTGACTATGCTGCCACTGATAAATACCTAGAAAAAATAATCACCATAGTCAGCGGTGACTGGATTGGATTTTGCTATACCAGGGAACTGAACATGAACAGATAGGAATATTCAAAACGTAGGTGAAACTAGAAAAAATAAAGTAGAGGTTTTGGGAGACAAATACTTGACGAGAAGGTAACATAATCAAAAGTATTAGACAGAAACGATGTTTCGTATGAATTGTAGTAGCAACAAAATGAGAATATTTACAACCTAATCCGAAAAAGATAATTTTCCCAACGATGAGTCGACGGTCGAATTCATCAACTTCCGCAAACCTTTTGAACGTTCTACCTCTGGAATACAGGAGAATCATGGGTGGGGTGGGGGGGGGGGGCGCCATGTAATTAGGTTTCAATTTAACAAATTAGAATTCTGTTGGGATCAAGTATTGAAACTCGAGTCATTTGGTATCTTACTGGTTGTCTCGTGAGGATAAAAACATCTTTTTTTTTATTTAGTGGAGTGGGAGTTAAGTATAAAGCCGGCCCTTATTACACGCAGAACACTTTTTGTGGCCATATCTCAGAAGGGTCATCGTAACATTATTACCTTCATTTTCATCAGTCCGGCACAGTTATCAAATCTGATAACCCATGACGTCACAACATGGTGACAATTCGAATTTTCGGAGTACATCGTCTTTGTTCGTTGAATCTTCGGTTGTGTTCGCGTTCTATACCCATAGTTCCACGCGATTACCTTCTCCCTTCGCCGCAAAAAAATAGGAGAACCTGAACAGAGGTCAGGGTCATCAAAACACAAGCATGGGCAAACCTACTCCCCAGTATTTCCAGTATTTCCTTAATTCAAAACGCCAACCAAACTAATTAAAGTGCTCATAGCTCACGTCAAGAAGGGAGGGTACGTACTGTATCCTTCATCCCCCGGCATGGTCACTCACCTATAGCATCTTTTGTCGGTAATAGTTTTTCAGAAACAACAACGGGGTGATCAAATGAAAGGTTCTCCTAAACATCTACACTAATCTGTCCACTAATAACATAAATACCTACCTGTCCGACTAGTTTTGGGTTTTTGGTGTCTGTTACGTCATACTGTCTGATGTCTCCATGAAGCCAGTTGCTCAAATACAGGTATTTGTCATCCAGCGAAAGAAGAATGTCTGTTATCAGACCTGTAGGGAAAATATCGCCACGAGGTAGTAAGTTACCATCCTTAAGAATGCTTTCTACAGTTTGTTTGAGAACATCATGAACAAACGAAGAATTTAAAGTGTACAGTAGTATAGTAAAAACGTTTACTGGTTATTGGTATATTGGCCTTTATTATGTAGACAAGAGTGTTTCTTTTAGTGGGAAATACGGTACACCTCTTTACCAACTTCAATGATAAATAAAAATTACAGGGTCGCGTGAAGATATGAATTTCATAATCTCGATTTTATCGTATACAATTTTTACGTTTCACAAGCTGAACAGTGTAATGAGGACAAATTCATTTTGAAAATGTGTACACTTTTACTTTGTTGACTGTTCAAGGTTATATGTCTAGGTTTTTGATGATTTGGCTCATTCTCTCACTGTATTCCATTATCGCCGCCAAAAGGTATTGAAATACGGCAAAAGAAGGTGTGTTTAAAACCGCCTTTGTCCCTGCTAGTCACTTTCGCTACGAACGTTCTTTTTTAGAACACCGAACAATGCACGAAGATTTATCCGAGACATTAAGATCTGTAAGGTGTGTAAACCTACAGTTATCCACGGATAGCAAAGCAAATGAAAGTATTGTGTTGACCAAGATAGCCTATGTACTGACCCACCTGGCATTTCCGGTAGAGCCCAGCCTTCCACTTTCTTATTTGGAATTTTAATCACAGTCTCAGCACTCCAAGTTTTTTCCTTTAACAAGTTAATTAAATATATATTAGGATATAAGACAAACGGGACATCCCTGACAGCTTTCAGCAGCATCGCTTTACTTCTAGGTTTACCTTACGTTGCCATTAGCTGACCCGACCCGACCCGACACGACCCGTGCCAACTCACCTCATTTTTGAAGAATCGTACCACCGTGCTGCTCAACGCACATCCCACAAATCCCTGCGTCTGATCGGGGTCGTGCAGGAATCTTATCTCCAGGGGAACGGTACCAGCTCCTAAGTCTATTGTCTGTTGAATGGTTCGTGAGGTCCAGTCCCACACATGCAAGCGAGATCCGTATTTGCCTGGTAACGAGTAAAAGGACAAGACTATTACAAACTGACGTAGGAACGAAAGGAGAAGTTATTTTTCTCAACTTAATTTCAGTATTCTCAAAACAACATCGAAATGCCAAGAGCTAATTCACATATTATGTAGTTTTGTGTCTGCAAAATGCCACTTACCAGCAGCCACGTCCTCCACCTTAAATCCTTTGGTAAAAGCGCTAGGCGCTCCCCACTCAGAACTTATCATCACATTGTGTCTAGGCTGATACCAAAAGTCATACCCCATTGGTGCTGATTTGTTTTCACCTTCCCAGCGTCCTTTGACGTCAAAGGTCTTGCCATCGAGGATAACGAAACCTCCTGACGTGTGGAAAAGCGGAGAATCGTAACTTAATTCAACTGTAATGTTAATTAAATGTTAAGATGATAGGTCGACAGGGCTGGAAAGCGTAAAATAGTACATGGAAGCGGGCCACAGCACAGCTCCCTGAGGGGCGGGCCTTGGACACATTTTAGAGCAAGACAAGTAAAAAAAAACTTCTTTTCATTTCCCTCAAGATTCCTCCTTGGTCTGCCTGTGTCATGGAAGTTGCAAGGCTGAATTAAAAATGGTTCTAAGGTTGTCCAAGCGTTTGAGTAGAAATGCGAATTTATAATGTAGATCGTCACTAAGCTCGATTTCCGCCACTCACTCGAGTCCGGTCTACATTCCTCCCTAAGAGAGAAGAGTGAGTAAGGTCGGGGAAGGAGCGCAGGTTCCTTTTTCGAACAGCGGTTGGTAATCGAGGCTAGATCGTCATGTACCTTCCTCATTTCCTTCCGGTGTTCCCATGGCACTGATCATGACCTCTCCACTTCCCAGGCAGTGCGTTGTATGAAGGTAGCCCAGAGCTGTCTTCTTGGTGACCTCTTCTGGTTCAACAATCTATAAATGATAAACAAGGATTGAATGTCTCGTTAGATCATTAGTGTACATTACTCTTAAAAAGCTATTGAAAAACTTTTCTAAATGAGCAATGCAGTCAAAAAACATTTCTGAAAATCCCCCCTCTCCCTTAAAACAACCTCAGATTTGACCGATTTCCGCTATCGTTTCCGGCCCCCACGAAAAGTTCAGTCAGATGGTTTTCTTTTTTAAGAACTCCAATTTTAAGGCCACCCAGGTTATCCGAACAGATTTTATTGGGCCGCGGGTTGTCTGATGAAAGCGGTTATTCATACCTTGTGTATGCGTGGTGCCTTTGGATCAGTTTCTACGTCAAAGATGTAAATCCTGCTGGAACTAAGTGACGGCATTATCAGGCGGTTTCTTTTCTGATTAGGATCGCCATGGCAGCTGAAAGAAATAGAGATTTGCAAAAATGAAAATAAAAACGGTTAGCATCAGCCTGGGCTGGTTTCATGTGAATGCTTGAGATGGATATCGTTAGTTATTTATTTCATTAAACAGTTTCTCAGTTTCTTAGTTTCTCAGAGTCTCATGGAAGACTTGTAGCAGTCTTCCAGTGAATTACGTTCTCTAAGCCTCTACCAATCATTGGAGAGCTTCTAAAGGAACTTTTCTCGCGCTCACTAATGTTTACATCGGTTGTAGATAATATACAGGATGATATAGGGAAGGCATGACAAACACGACACTGGCTAAGAATGAAGGCAATCAAATCGCAGAGCAAAACAAATTGAATAGACTAAAAGGTGAAAAACTGGTCTAAAAACAAGGCAAAGCCGCGACATAACATTACCCCAAGGGGCCACCCCCTATTCATACGGATGGAAAAACTACATTGAACCCCTCGTGGAATGTGGTCAGCGGTACGTAATGCTGTGAGGCTTTTCCACTGACCTACTGCAGGCGTTCCAGCCACTGTGATGTAACTCATCTCCCAAATGAGGAACCGCCAGGCGATGAATGACCTGTTGATAACGTCAGAAATTAATTGAATGATGAAAAGACGGTTCCTCATCATGGTTCAGTCCCGTTGAAGGTTCAAACATTTGGGATTTTTTTCAGGCTTCTTGGCACTGAATTGCTTTTGTATGAAACACAACGGCGATAACACATCATTCTGCCCTCATTTTATTCTACAAGTATATCAGTTTATATCAGAAAATAATTACAAGTAAAATTATGAGAAAACATTAGAAAAGGTAGCAAGCAACTGTCAACAATGATTCTACCCTTGTACGTTGGATAAGAGATTCATCAAGTCGATTGAGGATATAAACTCGAAAAATTAAGCAAACCAAATATCAGCCTTGTTCGGGTATAGAGGAAAATTGCAACATTTCATCAGTGCAAGTCTTGCATCATAATTAAATTCAGACATGTTTGACAGTCAAATATCTATTTATTGTTTTGCAGTTGCTTCTCTATAAGCCTTGCTCATTGTCACTTAATCATTAAGGTTCAGGTGCGATTAACCACTTTAGTTCTTTTTGGTTTCAGTTAAAGTTGATGGCAAACACCGCTGTTCTGCGTTGATGCCTAGCCAATTATTTGCTGTGACTGAGAAAATTACTGCATTGTGATTGGCTGAGAGCAGGCCAATTTAAAGTTAATTCTTAATTTGCACTGCAGTGCAAATTAACTCGCGCGTGTTTGCAATTTTCTCAGTCATATAATAAATGAGTAATCGTATAAAAGCTCAAGCAATTAAGGACTTACACTACTCGTGATATTTGAAAATTCTTTCAAATTGCACTCGCCTAAAGACTCGTGCAATTTTGAGAGAATTTTCAAATATCACTGGTTGTGTAAATCCTTAATTGCACTCGAATTCATGCGATCACCTATACTTACTACCCTTTTGCAGAACATAAAATAAAATCATCGATGAAAAGGTATCACTAGTTTCGAAGCACCAACGAGACTTTAAGAACTGATGGTAATGTTATCATATTTCGACATACTTTGAAGTTTATTCCTCTCCCCCACTTCTCCCCCGCCCCTCACCCCTTCTCCTTCCCTCATCCCCTCCCCCTTCCCCTTCTCCTCTCCTCCCCTCCCCCTCCCTATTCCCCTCTTTCCTTAGTGCTGAGCTTTACTTCTTACCTGGCCGTAAGAAGGAGATTCTGGATCGACATCAACGGTGGCAAGGTAGTCAGGCTTTTCTATCTCCGTGTTACTACGGATACATGGCAAATACAACAATTTCTCCCTGGGACCTTTCATGGCGTCCAAAGGGGTGGCATACCCCGGACCACATTTGCACGGATCTACTGGAAAATGAGTATTAGTCTTCTCTTCATTTAAATATGCTCACTATTAAGTGTGATAGGTCCTATCCCTAGTTGGCTTCGTTCAGGCGTCGTGTATAAAGTTTCTCGTGCAGGCTGCAGTGTCTGCTATATCGGTGAAACTACCCGTGCGATCACAAGAACACGCACATCTGCAGAATTCTGTGCATTGCCGCGACTCTGACCTCAAGTTCCAGCGATTGCTTTCATGTTACTGATCTAGCCGGCTCTGCATTTCAGCTCAAATAAAGATAAAAACGCTTTTCACATCCCGTGGGAAAACCCTTCCCTAAAAATTAATCAACAACTTCAACAAGTTCATTATAGCCTATCAGTTTCTTTGTAATCCGCACACATTTTTTCTTTATCTAAATAACTACATTCAATTTACATCTTCTATAACATTTGCACAGAAGAAGGCAGAAGCTTCTGCCGAAACATGTTTGTAAAATTGAAAATTGTCGATTTATATCTAAAGCTGGTCGTGACATGGCTATCTGCTTTCACGTGATCGTCAGGAATGGCTTAGGGCACAAGTCAGTACAAGGCCCGAATTCGGCCACCAAAGCTGTCACGTCTTCGGTCTTCGACCCAACACAAGCGGGGTTTACAGCGCCCAAAATGAAAGTGGGCTCTATAGCTCTATGTCTTATTATCCCTCGTCTCACGTCTGTGAATGTAAGATCAGGCTTGTTCTCAAAGCCGAGTGAAAAACTCCGGGTCCACTCGACACTGCGAGCAGAGCCTCTTTAATCTCTTTTACGACAATGGGGAGGAAAAAGAAATTATAAAGAGAGGTCTTTTCTCTACAACTTTTCTCGGTACGAAGCATACAAACTTGAAAGACAGTATAGTGAGAAAAGCTCTGAGTGCAGGATGCTACAGCAAAAATTCAGCCTAAAGTCTGACGGAAGTACGTTACTTTGTTGACTTCGATTCGTTCAAAGCAAGCAGACAAAACCACTTAATTACGCACGAGGAATAAATTACCTTGTCAGTTTGACGCCCGTAACGTTTGCATTGAATTCCTTCACGCTATCCAGGTTTACGTTTAGAGACAAAACCTCTATCTTATCATGAAGAAACCCAATATTGCGTGTTGAAAACACGCGCTTGTTAAACGACCCTGACCCATATTTTTGCGGCTGGTTTGTAACGCACGATCCCGGATTTCAAAACCAAAACCAAATTTCCTGAGCCAATCTAAACAATCGTTGACAGTGACTGTATCTGTGTTAACTACGACTGTATTGTTACTAGTTTTCCGTCTATGTGTTCGTTTTTTTGTGTGTTCTTTTTTAGCTGTTGTTGTTGAGATATTACTGTGAAAGTCGAAAAGCCGTGAACACTTAGCTTTGATTCTGACATGTCGATTGTGTAGTCACCAACTGAGATGCCAAAAAAAAAAAAAAAGCACAAAGAAAGGAAACAAACTAACGGTGTCTCCATCAGTCACGAAACCCGCACACTTCGATCGTTTTCCCTTCGGAAAAATGGCTGTTACCCTGTAGTTTTATAATTACTGATTAAAACTGTTCTATTTGTGCAAACGGAAGCGCTGACTTGCAGCCTAAGGTTACAAAACCAGACAGTTCATCTACATTCAACTTCATCTGTTGCTACATTTGGCGATTAAAATTATAAAGAACCCTGAACCCAAACTAAAAAGATCAATTTCTGTGGAAATAGGCAACGAAGTTAACACTACATTCAGACCTAGCAAAAGATGGTAAATAGTTGGATCGACTGTAACAATGCTAACCGAATTTAAAGGGCAGTACAAGTATAATATTCTGTTATCTAAAGCATTTGTAGTCCGCTACGGCTCCACGCGGAGCTTTGAGTGAATCGTATTCAGAGAACGGGAGAGAATTCCTACTCGATCGTGACAACTACACAGACTATTATTACAATATTAGTAAACAAACGATAAATAAGGTTGAACTAAATATTTAGTCGTACAGTTACCTTCACTCATAGTGCTTCCGCAATCGGTCCGTCTGATGAACTTGGGTAACAGAAATACTGCTGAATCACTCACTCGAACAAAACCTAATACGGTAATCGCGTGCAGAAAAGGCACTGGGCTCAAGTGCACATCATAGCACAATATATCGGAAACGAAAACAAAACACTGATCATACGATCTCAGATCATTGACACGGGGCGTTTGCGTTTTTAAGTCAGATCTAATCCAGTCATTTATAGAATGCCCACGATCTCCAATTTTGCCACAATTAATTCGGTATCTCTTAACCTGCACTACGAGCAGGTGTTCTTAAACGTAACAACGCCTCGGAGATCGCAGGTTCTTCGAAGGTATCTGGTCAGGTCATTGAAAGGACCTTTCTTCGGCCCATTTTCTAACCTCACGAAAAGAAATACAGCGGAAATATCGTCAATTAGTTGAAGTAGTCGAATGTGATATTTTCGCGTAGCTCCTTTTTCCAGGCTGTACGGTCGATTCCAGGCTTCACTCGAACGTCCTTAGCGTGCAACAATTAACAACAACAATAATACAAACAACAGCGAAAGACATTATGACAAATGTAATGTGGGAAAATAAAAATAAACAAGACGAGACCAAGGATTGTTATGTTATTGGAAAATACTCACAATATTTTGGCTCTATTTCAGAGTCATAGCCGCGTAATAGGCTACTTTCGAATATTAAAATTCAGCTTGATAGTGAAGCCTAGAGGACACAAACAAAACAATTAAATAAACATTGCCATTCAATTTCCTTTGTTTGTGTCCTCTAAGCCTCACCGCCAAGCTGAATTTTAATATATCAAAAACGATCTATTAGATCAAAACAAGTGCACAGCTTATGCATCAAGACTGATCAGGAGTACCGTATAAAAAAGCAATGACATAACATGGTGTAATCAACCGAAGAAAAGATCGAAGTCTCTAGAAACTTTGATCCCCTCATTAATGCTAGACTTAAGGTTCTTGATTAAGAAAAACCTCAAGAAATGCTAAGTGCGACCAATTGTCATTACAGTCTGAATGACCTGAAAGTGACCAAAGTTACCGTGAACGGCATTAAAAATGTGTTCTTAGTGACTGTAAAAACTTTACATGGTAAATCATTGTGGCAATCAGCTAAGTTGTACAAGCTGTTTACCTTCTCTCCTTGTCATAAGCCAAAACTTGGTTTCACCAATAATAAAAATCCTTGCTCTCGTCTTGGCAAAAAAGATAAAACAGCTAGAAATTATGACGGCGAATGATAAAAAGTTCGAGAGACGTAACCAACCGGAAAGCAAAGATTCGAGAGATTGATGCTCTTGACTTTTATACAATATTACGCATGCGCAATAAAAAATTATGTCCCACAATGACAGCACAGAATCCTTTTCTTTTAAACTGCAGATGTCACGCGTTCTGTAAAAGGGCCTTTGCCATCACTGGCACGTGAGACCTTACGGGCTCGCGCGGAATCGCAATCCAGAGATTTCGGAGGCATAATCTTTGGACCCTCGTGGCAGTTGGTAGCCGCTTAGCACCGACGCCCGAAACATAGCATGAAGAAATGGAAAGTGTACAACTGTGAGAAGAAAATCACTCAGAAGGAATGGCGGATAGGAAGGTAATTTAACGGCATACAACATCACATTTCTTGCTCTCCATCAGTTCATATCCCACCGGGAGACAAGCAGTCTTAACCGGTCGTGGGCGACGGTGACCAGAGCGCTTGGCGTGACGGAAAAAACGCGTGATAAAAAAAAAAAATGCCTCGCGCGGGCTCCACTTTTCACGAGTTTTTCTTCGCGCCACACTCGAGAAACGAGTTAGTTGCAGTCTTAACAGGAGAAAGTTAAGTGAATCTGTAATGGAGCTTTGAGCAAGTCGAAGTAGAATTCTGCTTCATGTAAAACTAACAAAAGTAAAAATGTTCAGTGTGAAATAGAGAGTTGTATTTGTCGTGATGGACCGGTACTGGTGTGTTCATTTCGTCTTATAATCTTGATAGGGTTTTTTAAGTCTAATGTACACAGTGGATTAACCTCGCATGAAGTCTGGAACAAAGCAGATACGTTTCATTACTTTCAACAGGATGTATACATGGTAAAACTGAAAGTTAGGAAATAAGCTTTTGTCTTCCATAGGTCAAGGCTGGAAATCCCACCACATCCCTTACCTCTTATCCTCCTGCGACTGTGTATGGATTTCCCAACCAATTACTTTTGAGATGGTTAATTCATTTTTCTAGTTTGCCCGAACTTCACATTCTTTCAATTCTATGTCAGTTCGCCCACTTTGACCTTGGATGTTTTTTTGAAAAAATTTTAAAAAAAATTTGCAATGCAGCAAAAATCCGGAACTGTCCATCAGGTTAGTAGGGGGTTACTAAATTGATTTATCCTCCGGAAAAAGTCTAGAATTTTTTCAAAAAAACCCTTTGTTCATGATCCTACGATACTAGGAGAGCAGCGCCTTGTCTTTCTTCTTCTTTACACGTAAGGATATTTTTCAACATCGGAAGAAATACAATATCGTAAATATCAGGTACATTTTCAGTCTGCAATAAGAAAAGAACAATTTTGTATCGTCGCTAAGCCAAAGGCATCTAGTAGACATGGATATGGCATCTGACAAATGCCAGGTCCAAAATTTCATGAAGGCGCTGAAGTTGTCGCTTTTTAACCTCTTCCGTTTTAGAATAATATAAAGCGGAAATAAATTGTTTACACGTGGAGCTCATACCAACCGGCAACTTTATAGCTTTGATGATAGAAAGTTTGTTTTGCGCATTGGGTGTGTAGAATATATTGATAAACAAAAGCGCTGCCCACTTACTTAGACATCTTATTGGATGATCATTTGCGAAACTGAAATATGTTTCCTTTTGCGATTGTTTTTACCGGAAATGGACCCTCCCTCTTGGATCCCAGTCTTTTTATCCCTCGTCCTGTGAACGTCCTTTGTGTTTGCCTGCTGTCATATGTGTCGGTACGGTGGGTGTTTGGTATATTTATGTCGCCTTTCTGATATTTAAACTGCGTTTCCTACGCAAAAAAAATTGGTTCAAGAATGGTGGAACTTCGTAGAAAATCTATGTAACGATGTCTAGCTGTGATAATTTTGTGGAACAACTTTGGAGAAAAGGAAAATGTGCGAACTGTTTTCAATCACGAGAAAAACATCAAAACGCTGCCAACACACATGAAGAAGCCGGCAGCGCTACCGCGAACTACAAACTCAAACGAGCGACAACTCTTCCTCGAAGCCAAAGAAATCAAAATTTTAAAGCTTCGAATGTTGAAAAGGCGAATAATTTATTTAAACAGGAACAAGTAAATGAGGAGAATGGCTTAGGAAATGGTGTGAATGACATTAAAACCATCGCACCTTGCACGACCATTGAGGACACCAAAGATCGCAGTGCCGTGAATGAAGCTGGTAAAAAAGCACAGGATTCTAAACGTTCTGTCGCTAATAAACCCAAACCAGTACCTAGGCCGAGACCGAGGCCGACTTCTCGAGCGGTAGAATTTGGTTTTAGTGTGAAAAGCCGCGATGAAAGCTCCAAAGAATCATCGGCGGATGTGGTGAATGGTACCATACCTCTGGAAGATACTCTTGGGAATTCCCACAGTGGACCACAGAGTAACGCAAACTCTAGAAAAAAAAATTCCGAAGACCCTTTGCTTTCAATATTAGATCACGATAAGGAATCGGAGGAGACAAACAAACTTAATATCGAAGCAGTCTGCGAGGCAGTAGCTCACGGAAAGGACGCCATAGAAGTCGAAGATCCGAGCAATGATATGGAACGTCCAGATGTGAACGACACCGACCGAGTCTCTTCATCGAATGACTCGGTCGTTGTGGATTCAGTTCAAACCGAAGCAGAGGTTTCACCGTGTAAAAATGTGGATGGAGATGAAAGTGATGTCGAGGAATATGTCCCGATGAAAAGCAATATAGCTTTGTTTGGCACCGAATCTTTGCATAATGAACCTCACGAGACAGATGTTTTGGAACCAAACTTCGAAGTCAATTTAGATTTACGAGAAAAAGCGAGCAGTGACAATCGAGCGATCAATGCATGTGACTCTCAAACCGACGAAGAAAATTCTTCAGGTGTATTAGAATTTAGCAATCCTTTGTGCGTGATTACAAACGATATGGGCGACACAAATAAGCTCACTACTCAAGAATCTGGCGACTGTGACAAATTGAATGATAATCATAACAAGATTACGAGTTTAAAATCTTCTAGTGCTGAGCCTTTTTACGTAAACAGACCGTCCAGCTCGAGTAGTGAAAGCACAGTTTCTAGTAGCCACGATTCGGGCTATGAAAATACTCGCAAGTCCACCAGAAGTGATTCATCTCACAGTGCCTCAGGCAATGGCAATGATGTCTCTACCCATGTATTAAAACCTGACGAGGTCAGTTTAGCAGGCAAGTCAGTTGCTTCTAGTAAAACAAACCACTGTGACTTTAATATTGAGTCCAGCGGAACATCAAACAGCTCTTGGGGGAGTAGTACTTGGGACAGTTGTAGTACGTCTGATTTTCACGAAAACAGCAGCGAATCTATGCTCACGGAAAAAGCAGCTAGAAAATTTAACACCACTGATAACAAACCTCATTCTGAGGCGCTCACCTTCCGTACTGCCCAGTCTGTCACAACAGGCGAAACTCCTGCTTACGTGAATACCACATTGAAACCTTTCACGAAACCATATAGAGTGGTGGATATTAGCTCTGGTGTGTCCGTTCCAACTATGGAGGATCAAAATGATGCACCTCCACTTCCCCCCAAAGAGAAGGATCTAAGGAACGATAGGGCAGAAGTATTGAACCATGTATACCTGGAACCCTCGGAGGAAACAAAGGGAATTCCAGATCAAGACCTGGCAAATGACAAGATAGATGTGGTATCGGCTGCTAAGGTGAGAGCTGCCTCAAGTCCGTCACTCAAACAATCTTCTAGCAATGTTACAGATAACAGCCCTGCTGTACGAAGGGCGCCAGCACCAAGGCCACGTTCTAGAGTACCATCGCAGTTTGGTACCTTACCTAAACCAGCACCTCGCACGTCAAGAATTCTCAATGATATGCCTGTTAAGGTTGACTCTAAAGAGCAGAAGGTAGCAACCCCTCCAGTTGGTAAGTTGTACTGTGATTTGAATGGATGTGATGTTCACTGCCTATGTAGGGTTGATTTTTCAACAACAATAGTTATTGGTAGTAGTCAATCACTTCACAGAAGTTGGCTGTCTAATTTCTTTAAAATTATTTACATTCAAGTAAGAAAAGAACATCCTCATCCACATGCTTGAAGATTTTTGTCATCTGTAGTGAAATACGTACTGTACATGTACAGTGGAATCCCAGTTTCTCAAACCCTTGATTTTTCTAACCTCCAGATAACCTGAACCAAAAGTCATTTTCCTCTCCTCAGTGGAACACTTAAATTTTATCCCCAATTTCTTGAACTACCAAGTTTTCAAACCAATTTTTGTTTCCCTTGGAAGTTAAAAAAAATCAGGATTCCACTATATGAGTATGTGAACTGGGATGACAAAATATGTAAGACAAACTTTGTTCTACAAATAATTTATTACAAAAATGTCCAGCAGGTCTTCCTATGAAAGTTGCAAAACATCAAAAATTGCAGAGATCTCATGTCTTTAAATTAAAAATAGCAAAGGATAAAAACACTAAGTCCTAAGGCCAGGCTTAGCATTCTAAGCAGACTAGATAGTAACACATGTCCACAGGAGGCATTTGTGACATAGTTGTAGAATAATAATCTTTTCCTGAACCCAGTACATGTAACTGAGGTTCCTATGTATATTTTTATGACATCCTTGAGTTTAAAACTTCATGTGTGCTGTGTCTGTGTTTCTTTTTAACAATGATTTCTTGAAAATTGATNTCCACTATATGAGTATGTGAACTGGGATGACAAAATATGTAAGACAAACTTTGTTCTACAAATAATTTATTACAAAAATGTCCAGCAGGTCTTCCTATGAAAGTTGCAAAACATCAAAAACTGCAGAGATCTTATGTCTTTAAATTAAAAATAGCAAAGGATAAAAAAACTAAGTCCTGAGGCCAGGCTTAGCATTCTAAGCAGACTAGATACTAACACATGTCCACAGGAAGCATTTGTGACAAAGTTTTAGAATGATAAACTTTTCCTGAACCCAGTACATGTAACTGAGGTTCCTATGTATATTTTTATGACGTCCTTGAGTTTAAAACTTCATGTGTGCTGTGTCTGTGTTTCTTTTTAACAATGATTTCTTGAAAATTGATTGGTTACAAAACTTATCCAGCTGAGGCAAGAGTCATTGTTATTGTTCTCTTAAATTATTTAGAATGAATAAGCCAATATCTTTTTATTCCATTTTTATTTTTTTTTATTAAAGCCTTAAACAACTTAACATTCTAAGTTGTTAGTTGTAAACTTTATACATTTGGCGAAGTATTTCCTTGTAATACACTCATTCAGAGTTAAAACTAAAACTATTCTTGTGCGCAAAGAATCCAGGCAATATTGAATGAACTAGATGACTTAATGAGTGTCATTTTAAACCCCCAGGCAGTGGGCACTCTGATATCATGTCACTCTGACAGATAAAATTTGTTGTATAAACATTTTAAACCTGTCTACTAAAAAGTCAAATAGCATTAGTAACATCTTATCTGTAAAAACCTTCTAATGCAATACATTTAAAATTTTGCATCTTTTTGCATGCAGAAAACTACTGGTATTTATATTTCACAGTACACTGGCCCCGAAGTGCTGAATTTTGATGCAAATTTTATTTTAGTCTACTTGTCTCTTATCAGCGAAATCAGCTTGTGATGTTATCTTAGATTTGATGGTCACTCTGTGTGGTCTATATCTATCAACTTTTTTGGTTATTTAAAGCATGCGGCCTTTAAAAAAAGTGACATATAATCACTGCAGTGATTTAACTCTTAGTTTTCATGTTTTCTTTGAGACTTAGACGTGCTTTCTTTGTGTCACATATGTCATTCATAACTTGACGTGACTTATTAAACATTCATAAATACATTTTTCAGGACAAGCTTGAAGTGTCATCATTCAATTGGTTGTGTAGCTTTTTATTACTGCACTTAATGATATGCCATACTGGACCTCATTTGACACAGGCTGAACTAGAAAGAAAGTGATAACTCTGATAACAAATGCAGCATTCTTGTCTGCATTTTTGTGGCACTCCCTATCATTGACAATGTGTTTAATCAAGCTTGGAGAAGTTTTTAATAGCTCTAGACATCAAGACTCTATCAGAAGTGTAGATTTTGTTTTTATTTTCCTTTCACCTACTTACAGTATTTTACTACATATTTTTCTGAACCACATCCTAACTAAGCAGAAATGTTATTGATGGATCTCCAATGGCAGACCTTTGGCTTTTCTTCCAGACGTGTGTTATGTTCTTAGTTTTTAATTATTTATGCAGTATGCTCCTTCACAGATATCTGTTTCTTTTTTTTCTGCTTTTTTTTCTTCACTCAAAGTACATCCATTGAGAAACTACAAACATCTTTGTAAATGGTGACAGCAAATTTATTTTATGTATTTGTTTCCCTTTTCTTATTTTGAGAAATGTTGTTACTCCAGAAATGATCAATACTTCCCCCACAGAGGTTTGTCAAATTGAACTATCCCCACCCTTCTGAACATTTCAGTTTAGCATCATTATTTCCTTACAAACTGCCAGTATCATGAATCAGTCTCCTTATTTTCCTGATTTTCTTCCTGGAACCCATTTTGTCTTCTCCATCTTCTGTTAGCCTCTTGTTGTCGTTGTTGCTGTTGTTGTTTTATGTGATAAATATAAATTAAGTGTAAGAAATTCATTATTTTGATTTTATAATTTAATAAATACTCAATTTGATGATACTTATACTTATCTGGTAAAATAAAACTTTCTGAAATAAAAATAAAATAATAAGAAAAGTACTTTACACTTATAAAACATGGAAATACAACAAGGAAAAAAACTGGTAAACTGTTAAATAAAAATTAATTTATTTTTTATTAAATATTAATTAATTAAAGATTATTTTGCTGGACTCTTTTAGCATATGTGTCTTGCTTATAGTTTAAACTGGCTTGTAAGAGACCTAGAGAAGCTTTGTGTGCAGTTTATAACTAACATTTTGTTATTTGATTTACTTTTTGTTTTAGTTTCAATAACGCCCCTACCCACTACCCCTCCTCCAGACCCACCCTCCCTTACAAGACTGCCATCGCTCAAGAACTCTAGTCAGGCAGCAGTAGCTCCTGCTTCACCCCCTCCCCCTGCAAAAGGCACGGCAGATCCAGGGACCACAGAGAATCAATCTGAAAGTGTGCCTTTGAGTCCAGTCAACAATGACAATGTTGCTGCAGTAGGGGAGACACAGGAGGGACCCATTAAACCCAAAAGAAGTGCCCCACCACCTCCCCCTTCTGGTAAGCCTGCTAGTAATATGCATCTAAATAGCAATGTTTAGAAATAAAGCTAAGGGTGGAGGGGGGGAGGGACTGCAAACATGTACAGACCGCCCTCTTGAGATGAGGGTGCAAGAATTAGCTGGTGTCTGTAGCCTTGGTCTTCTCACAGCAGTGATAAGTACTCTTTAAGAGTACTTCTCACAGCAGTGATAAGTACTCTTTAAGTACTTACTGCAATGAAGACGATATGCTCACGGTTATGTGTTTTTGGGTAGGATATGTTTATGTTGATTTCTATGTTTTACTAACACTTTCTCTCTCAAGATGTTTAGGCTGAAGAAAATATAGTGGTAACACACAAGCTTTACAACATTTATGATTCATTATTAGATGGCATACCAACTGAAACAAGTCATTTTTCCCTGTCTGAAGGATAGAGCGAGGAAAATGTTGACACTTTGCAACTCAATGACTGATCCGAGGACACGTAATCCATAAAAATAGTCTCCATTAAACAAATTCCGAAATAGTTGGCCGTGCGCGCTATAGCTTCTTTGGTACTACTGAAAAGTTTTGAAGGGTTTGTTTGTTGTTGTTTGTCTTTTTTTATTATTATATACCAGCTTCCAGTCCACCGCCTCCAAAGTCGCCTGTATCGGAGCCTGTGACACCAGTGAAGTCAGCAAGTCCCAGTCCATCAAAGCCAAAATCGCAGCCAGTCCGATCATCGACGTTTTCAGGTCCACATGGTTCCAACCCGAGTCCAAACCCAACGAAAGCGTCTTCCCCAAAATCAACGCTCAGAAGAGCGTTTGCAACCATGAAAAAACTTGGAGGCAAAAAGAAAAACAGGCACAGCAAGACTATAGAGATCAGTGCACCTATAGCAGTGAATGAAGACGTGCCAGGCTTCTTGGCTCAGAAAGAAGCAGTGCGACGCCGAACCATGTCAGAAGTAACCCCTCTGCAAGCTGAGCAGAACAGTGTAAAAGAAGGACAACGGACTGAGGCAGCTGAAGCTGGTACCCCGGCAGCAGTTTCATCGCCAAATGATAGTGCGTCTGCTGTGTCTCCAACGCCTCCCGTCACGGGGGATTCATCACCCGTCGAGGGACGGTCCAGTAGGACAAGCTCTCCTATCATGCAGACAGAGCCTGGAATTGGGTATCAGAACTTCCCTCTATCAAAGGGTGGAGACACGTTGGAACGGCCCAAGAAACCGCCTCGTGTGGCTAAAGTTGTTAAGCCATTGCAGCACAGTGAGCCGACACCAGATGAAGGTACGAGACAAAAAGACGAAGAACCGACTTATCTTGAGCCCAATAACGACGAGCTGACTCTCAAGGTGGAAACAGCTCTAGCCAATTTGACGGGCGCTGAAATCCTGGCTGAGGCACTGTCGAGAGTCGAGCAAGAGATGCTTGGACCGCTGCCAGTCATTCCCCGTTCTCGGCATGTCCACTTTCGGTGTGAGAATTCCGATAGTTCGAAGACGTCCACGCTAGGCAGACCAGAGCTTCCAAAGCGTCCTGTACGGGTCGTGTCGCCAACCCTTGTTAACGGTTCTGGGGAGAAGAGTGAGTCTAAATCCCGGCCGCCCAGGCTTCCCTCCAGGCCTCCCAACGCAAAATCTTCTGGACCGACCATGCGAGAACGCTCGCACAGTTTAGAAACGAGAACCCCAGAAAAGCGCAAACCGGTGATTGTGCGCAGTAGAAGCTTATCGACGAGTGCCAACGTACTGGAGAAGCGTTACAATAAGATTTTAAAACTGCAGATGCAGACTTTGGAGGAGATGATTGACTCTTGGAGAGAGGAACTTCTGCCTGATGCCGGTCTGGACTTGTCTGACACACGCTGGTCAGATTACGAGATCTGTGGTGATATACTGGACGTGGAGTGTCCTGGTGCGGTGCTTCTTCCTGTCAAATGTGCCATGTTGTGGGAAGGAAACAAGAAATTGCTTGCCAAGGTCAGTAGCGTGAAATGTACTGATAAGATTTACCGGCGAAAATCACCGAACCGTGGAATGGGCTCGATTTATAGCAACCACTCCCACTTTCTTACCCGCCCATATTCCTTCGTGATGTTGCGAGTTGACTCTAAGCGAAGTTCAAACTAAAGATTGGGAAGGGGAAAGAAGCCGATAAATGTTTTAAAAATAACACAAAAGAGACAGTAAAAGATAATGGGAGTGGTTGAACCCATTCCACGGTTGGGTGATATTCGTAGTACCCACCTTTTAGGGTGATATTTTCCAGGCTTACGTTTCTCTCAATACCCTGTTAGCTATCTCGAGCTTAACCTGACGACCGTGTTACAAATCAATATTGAAGTTAAAAGTGTGTACTTACGCCATTTTTTGCCTGTATGTGATCATTTGTCCTTGTTATGGCAGGTGGAGTATCCAATACCGTCTGCAACTCACACGTTTAAACGAACCCCTTACAAGCAGGACATGCATGTATGTGAGGCTCTGCCGTATCACGTGAACATCTCACGTGTTCTGACGTACTTTACTGATGACGTTTCTGGAGACACAATCGGGCGACCAGACTGTGACTCATACGAAACAATGGTGAGCATCACAGATCAAATCCCTTGTGAAACGGTGGCGGATTTTCTCAAGCGAACTAAGGAGGAGCATTTAAGCGATCCAGAATCATACGAGAAAAAGATTTGTCTTTTAATCCTTCAGCTTTTAATGGCGCTTAATCATTTGCACGGAGAAGCCGTCGTTCATCGCGACCTGAAAGCTGAAAACCTTCTCCTGCTAGACTGCGGGCTCTTGGTTGTGACCAATTTCCAGCATGCGCTTCACCAGCCCAAAAACACTCAACCTAGTCCTTTCGTTTTAAGCAAGAGTGGGTCAAGTTATCTTGGTGGCAATTCGGAGCACCTTCCACCGGAAGTGGTAAATTCACCTAAAGATGCTGACGTGTTAAACTATGAAGATTGTGACACTTTTGCAGCTGGCTGCTTGGTGTATGAGTTCCTACATAGAGCCAATCCTTTCGCTGCCAATCCAAACCTTGTCAAGCAAAGTTATGACCGAACTGATCTTCCCCCAGTCCCTTGCAAGTCTCGATTTTCCAAGGGACTGGGCACGATCGCCCGTCAGCTGCTCCAGCGCCATCCTCAGGAGCGTTTAGCTGCTGGAGAAGCCATTCAAATGCTTCAAGTGTTGCTATGGGGGCCGAAACAACTTGACGATGACAGCGTAGAAAACGCCATTGGTGATTGGCTAGAGACAGAGCGGGCGCATACGGTGGCAATGATCGCGCGAAATCAAATACAGAAAAGTTGTAACTCGGACGAATTCATTGAGACTTACATGAAGTGTCATTTTCTTGTGGATGCCTCTGTAGAGACTATATCGTGGATTTACCAGCAGCTGGGTCTTGATCAGTGACGAGTTACTGTTAATCTGTTGATAGGAGGTTTCCGTAACGAAGTGACATTCACATATATGTGTATTTATGTGTCTTTAGTTCTCAATAGTTTAGCTCTTATGCAGGGTCCCTAAAGGGGTAAGGGCTTCATGCCAACTGAAGGGCTGTAGAAATGCAGCACTCCAGTTCACCAAGCACAGAAAAAATCTTCTTGGATTCTCCATTGTATTGCCTAAGAGCCTCTAAGAACGACAATAGACATTTGTCTGAGTTTTAACAACACAAAAGCTTTGTCTCCAGAAAAAAAAACTTAAGCCTAAGGCTTACAAATCCCCGTTCGGGATCCTGCTTATACGATAGCACTGGACTGAGACAAACCGTGCCAGGCTCTCAGGTTGTGTTCAGACGGGCGAGAAACTGAATGCTCGAAAGAGAAAATGAAAGGAGCAAGAAACCCATTAACTATTTTCTCCTGTCTCATTCGAGTGTATATTTCGCCCTTTTTTCACGTTCTAAAAACTTTGAACAGGCCATCATTCAATGAAGCTTTGGAACAATGTTTTTACAATCATCTTTCTGTCAGCTTCATATCACCTGGTCCGTTTGATTGGCTGACTTGGAAATTCAAAATTCAACAAAAGCATAGATATCGAAAGGTTATCGAAATATCACCGGCGGCGCTTCACAATAGTCGGTGTCAATTGGTGGTTTGCCCTTGTGTTTAAAGTACAGACTAGATCAACTGAAAAAGTTGTAGCAAGGTTCATTCTCTGACAATAACAACCGCGAAAGCCGGTTCGCACGCGTGAAACGCGTGTCAAGTAAAACCGCGCGCGTTTTGTGTATATTTGACGCTTGCTCCCACGTTCACCTGTAACGTCAAAAAATACCTTGATGACTTTTGCAAGGATAGATGTGACGACGTCAAGATTTAGCCAGAGAATTTTCTTAAACTAATATAGTTAAATACATAGATATATAAAAAAAAAACAAATAATTTATTTAAAGTGACCGTTAACAATAGAAAGTTAAGGTAGAGTCTTTGTTCATAAGTATGGTTTTCCCAGTGTTATTGGAGATTTTAGGCTTGCTTGCCNTGAAAGCCGGTTCGCACGCGTGAAACGCGTGTCAAATAAAACCGCGCGCGTTGTGTGTATATTTGACGCTTGCTCCCACGTTCACCTGTAACGTCAAAAAATACCTTGATGACTTTTGCACGGATAAATGTGGCGACGTCAAGATTTAGCCAGAGAATTTTCTTAAACTAATATAGTTAAATACATAGATATAAAAAAAAAACAAATAATTTATTTAAAGTGACCGTTAACAATAGAAAGTTAAGGCAGCGTCTTTGTTCATAAGTATGGTTTTCCCAGTGTTATTGGAGATTTTAGGCTTGCTTGCCGTTGACTAAATTGATTTACTGAAATATTTCAGCTCTGAGTACACATGGGTTTATTTATATTTTGTCAAAACACGACCCTTCTTGAATAGGGCGCGATAGCAATATTTTATTGGTTACAGGTTTCTCGAAAGAAAATCGTTCACATCAACTGTAACAAAGCCGAGAACATGCAACAGATATTATTTAATGTGGAGCTGAACTTCCAGTGACATGTACGAAGCTTATTGCGTTTATTTTCATAATTGTTAAGATTTCTACTCGTCTTCAATCAAACGAATAGCATCTTATTTTAAGTAATAAAATGTGAATATTATGTTGCAGTCGGGTGGACATGAAACCTATCTACGGCAAATCATTGAGCCTACAGGTTGTAACGAGTGTTACTTGGTGACGTTACGGGCACGTGACTTAGCCTGATAGCGAAAAAAGACGTTTTTATTTCTGATTGGATAAGAAGAAGCGGAAATTGTTTGTACTTTTACGAAGACTCGCTTGTTCCTCGACGTACCGGTGTAAGCATAACTAGTTCTCAAGCTTTAACTAAATAAAAGTAAAAGAACTATATATAAAGACTTATTTTGTTTACGTAGAAGAGGTTTGCCATTGTGAAAAAATTGTTGAGAACCTTAAAAATCATTTGATTAATTGTTTAAAAAAATTAATATTTTTGCGACGTTTCGACGTTCGCTTAACGTTATTATCAACTCCAAGATGAATGAAATTGTGTGCGAATATAAATGTAAAAGAAGTCCTAAGAGACACGAAATAATACATCTTTCCTGATAAAAGGATCGGAAGAAAAAGGAATTGGTTTAAGCAGGAGGCGCAGTGCAATAGGCCATTTTCGTATTCTCGGTATTTAAAAACTGGAACTATAGCTTGCAACTGAGGCTTATGAGAGGAGTCTTTTCAAATGCAAATGATATTTATCTCTTGTTATTCTCCCACAAAAGCCTCCATTGCAAGCTAGTTGCAGTCAGGAACCCATCAGTGGTAAGTTCCAGGGAAATACCGACAATACGAAAACAGCAATTAATAGTAATTTAATAATAACAATAATAATATTAATATTAATTATTTTTAGCCGCACTACATCAGTAAAATCTCAGTGCTCTCACAAAAATAGTAATAATTTAAGATCCAGTGAAACCTTTAAATAATTAATTATTATGTAAAAACTAAATAAAGAACTAGATTGGCATGCTTATAAAAAATTAAGTCTATTTCTAAAAATATCAACGGATGGGGCGCTCCTCACGACTAGCGTAAGCGTGGGTGCACAAGATGAAAAAGCGTGACCATAGTTCTCTGTCCTATACACCGGCCTGTACAGTCGCAGGTTGTCAGTGGCGTTTGAGCGAAGACGCCTATTTGGTTGATGTAAAACTAGCAAATCGGTCAAGTACTTAGGAGCAAGGCCGTTCAGTTTCAGACCTTGTAGGTAATGAGAAGAATCTTAAAGGCGATACGTTTATGCACAGGCAGCCAGTGTGACTTGGGGAGAATTGGAGTGATGTGTTCCATTTTCCTTGTTTTTGTGATAAATCGTGCGGCTGAGTTCTGAATATGTTGGAGTTTGAAGATCTCTTCAGTTTATCAGGAGACCGTACAAGAGACTATTATATAGTCCAACTTCGATGATACATAGGCGTGTCACAGTAAATGGTTTGAACCCAGGAGTATCAGTAGTTCGTATAGTGTGATCGTCCGGGTGAGTGTAGTTCTGAAAAGAACTGTTGTTGGTGACTGT